GAGGGAGATGGGGGAGAGACAGACAGACAGACAGACTGACTGACCTTAAGAATAATGGTGAAAGGCTCCTCAGCCTTAGCTCAGTGGTTAGGGCGCCTGCCATATACACCGGCCTGGGCCTGCTAAACAACGACGACGACAAGTGTAACAAAAAAATAGCCAGGCATTGTGGCAAGCACCTGTGCTCCTAGCTGCTTGGGAGGCTGAGGCAAGAAAATAGCTTAAGATCAAGAGTGTGAGGTTTCTGTGAGCTGTGATGCCACAGCACTCTACCCAGGGCAACATAGTGAGACTCTGTCTCAAAAAAACAAACAAACAAAAAGAATAATGGTGAAAGTTTGGAATAGTCATTATGTGGTGAATCCTAGATCTCTAGTCCTCCTCTCCTAGTAGAAGAAATTGACAAAGAAAATATAAAATATTATTGCTGAAATCCAGCTGAAGTTAGAGGCCATGCATTTGTAGTGACGTTAGTTCCTTGCTGGTTATGTGAAACTTTCCACCAGCAAATCCAAAGTGGAGGAGAGAAATGATTGGATCAATCCAAGATTTGCAACTTGGTGGCTTCTGATTTCCTGGGGGAACTGGGGAAGACTGTCCACCTCTTAGGTCTGCAGACCTGAAAAAGAGCTTTCCCAAAGTGCAAGAGTGGGTACAAGCTGGCAACGGGACATTCACCTCATCTGCAATGAGAAGCTTTATCAGGCAGCCTTTGGTCCATTTGAGATTGACTGGAGAAAGTCTATGAAGCTGTATCAGGAAGGTCCAGATGACTGGTGATTCAGATATAGTTATGCAAATTAAATTTTGTTTTGTAATTGTTGAATTAGAACAAGTTTTTTTTTTCCTAAATGAAGGCATTTATGAAGAGAAAATAAGGCAAAGTGAGAGGTAAGGTTAGTATCCTAAATATGCATATCTCTCTGCCAAAAATAATAGTCTCCTCAATAAATGGAGAGCTATAACATGTTCTTCAGAAAGAATCAATACTGTAAGTATGGAAATTCTCCACAAATTAATCTTTACAATGCAACCTCAATGAATATCTCCACTGATTTTTTAAAAAATAACTGCAAAAGAATCCTATTAAGACTTCCAAATTTGGAAACTCCCAAACAAGAGTATTAGGTGGTAGTTTACAACACAAATCAAAGTAATTAAAACCAGATGATACTATACTGGTCTAGGAATAGACATAGCTAATAAAGAGCACAGATTGGAAAGTCCAAAATTTGGCCCAAGTGTATGATCTTTTAGATCAGTGTTTTTCAGTATTTTTTATCTCACAGTACACTTGAACCTACAGTTAAACTTCTGTGGCACATCTAAATTATGTTGATCAAACAAAGAGTAAAAATAAGAATACACTTATTGTGCTTTGAATTTCTTTCAAAAATAATTTAATTAATGGTCTTTAAAATTTTTCACATCATGCCTAAGAACTTTTCACGGTACACTGGTTGAAAATCAATGATTTAGAATATAACCAAGAGAATATTTAATTCCTTCTGAAATAGATATCTTGGACACAGATTAGATATCTTGGATCAGCACCTGGTAACTTCTGAGGTATGAAGGGAAGGCTTTGGCCATCATAGTGGGCATCCAGGCTTTCCTTTGGTGCTCACAGACATTAAACCAGAATGTAGGGGCTTCTCTTCCTATGACTAGAGAGGCTACAAATGTGTACCTCTGAGTAAACCTAGGGAGGAAAGACTATGGCCTGCATCTACATGTGAGCCTTTGATGAAGTATCTGAATTCCTTTATTTTGAAACTTTTTAAATTAATGTTTTAAGAGACAGTCTCGTTCTGTCACCCAGCTTGCAGTGTGGGTCTCAGTCATAGATCACTATAGCCTCCAGCTCTTTGGCTCCAGCAATCCTCCTGCCTAGGCCTCCCGAAGTGGCATGAGCCACCACATCCAGCCTTCTAAATCTTTCAGGTTGCTCTTTACTGAGTGATCCTTTGCTTGGCACTGCTTGAAGCCAGTATTTTCATGCCTGTAATAACTTGGTATTGCCCAACAATGAGGTAAAGTTGAAATTGCCATTGGGAAGCAAGGAAGGGATGAGCAGCATTTTCTTCAAATAGATCCATCAATCTACTTCGACCACCATCCTTTCTCACTTACATTGTTCCAACTGCCCATTAACTGGTCTCCTTGCTTCCCAACCCATACAGTCTATTTCCTCCGAGTAGCTGGAGTGATTTTTTTCAATACTTAAGACATGTTACTCTTCCACTCAAAATCGTCATATAGCTTTCTATCTTATTCATAATAAAAATTCGAAATCCTCTATAAGGGCTTACAAGGTGATATACAATTTGGCCTGAAAATACCTCTCTGACCAGTCTCCATTTCTCTCAGTATATTCTAGTCACATCATTTTCCTTGCTGTTATGCAAACATGCCAATTATACTCTCATCCCCCTCCCCTTTTTTATTTGTGACGGCTCAGCTTCCACCTTATCAGAGAGGTCTTCTCTTTCCTTCATTCACCCCTATCATTGTCTGACTGGTATACATTAGGCCCCCAGTGTCTCTATTAATGAATAATGAGTGAACTGAGTCCAGTGTATGAGGAAAATCTACTGGCTGTGTTTTTCTTTGTGGTGCTAGCTGGGTGTCCCTCCCTTTCCATCTTGATTCAGCATCTCTTAGTCCATTTTATGCTGCTGAAATACAAATGAAACTTATTTTTCACAGTTCTGGAGACTTAGAAGTCCAAGAACAAGGCACCAGTGTCTGGTAGTGGTAAGAATCCTTTCTCTGCTTCCAATATGGTACCTTGAAGGCTGCCTCCACCAGAGGGGGAGGGACATTGTGTCCTCACATGGCAGAAGTCAGAAGGCCAAAAAAAGAGATGAACACTAAGGCCTTTTCAAAGGTACTGGTTATCATTCATGAGGGGAGGAACTTCTTTAAGGTCCCACTGTTTAATACCATCACATTGGCAGCACCTGGATTTTGGAGGGGACATATTCAAATCATCATACTTGACATGGTAGGGCAATATCTCCAATTTACAAAGTCTGAATACAAATACAGATTGCGTGGGCCCCTATGTATAGCCTCCAACTACCCTTTCACAACCACTACTGCTTGAGTTTGAGGATTTTTTAAGAATAGTTTTGTGAAACTTTTTTCCCTGGTACCTTGAATATTGTTCTACTTTGTACTGATGGGTTTCCCCGCAGTCTGATGCCATCTATGTAGTTTTTAAAAGACCTTTCTCAATATTTCTGACAATCAGTGTTCTTTTCCTATCATTGCTACACATTTCTTCCTTATTTTTATATTTCACTAGTCATTCTAGCAAGATTGGGGAAGAAAGGTAGATAAGTCACTGACCTTTTATCTTAAAATCCTAATTTGTGTATATATCTGCACATGCACATAATTTTACATAGATGAATAAAAGTGAACATATGAATGCTTTTAAAGTAATAACTTAAGTAGAATTTTATTGAAGTAAAATATACAGAGGTCACATAGATCTTAGGTTTCAATTTTATTTTCTCGAAGTGATTGCATCACTTTAATCAGCACCCGGTTCAAAACATACTTGTTCTGAGCACTCCAGAAGCCCTTGCTTTGCCTCTTCCTAGTCACTATCCCTTGAAAGGCAACCAATATTCTGACTCCTAATACTATAGAGAAGGTGGTTTTCAAAGTTTATACGGATTGAGCTGCGCAGTTCACTCATTGAATCTGTGTGTCTTCTGCTCAACATAGATTTTGAGAGAATTAAACATCTTGTGCATAATAATAGTCATTTCTTTCTCATTCCACTTTTAGATATAAACACAAAGGAAATTTCTAGCTATGATCTTCATGACACAGAGATGCATTATTTAAGCTGCTTTGGAAACAGTCCAAACGTGTCCCAACAATAGAAAGAATAAATAAATGGTTATACATTCATAGTATGCAATATCAACCATGCTTTTTAAAAAGTATAGTTTTTTTTTTTCCATTTTAACCGGGATGTATCTGACATTCTTTTTCTAGCCACATTAGTTTTCACCTGCATCTAGGATAACTCATGTTAACAACTTGGTATATACATTTCTGTATTTCTTCCAGATACCATATATATATATATATACACAAAGATATTTATGAAAGAGTTCTTATAAAAAATGGATTATAGGGCAGTGCCTGTGGCTCAAAGGAGTAGGGCACCGGCCCCATATGCTGGAGGTGGCGGGTTCAAACCCAACCCCGGCCAAAAACTGCAAAAAAAAAAAAAAAATGGACTATAATATACACTATTTTCTACACCTTGCTTTGTCATGCCATCATATTGAATCCAGGATTTCTATGTTCTTTAGACAGTATATGTCTGGAATAATACAAAGAAAATATTAAAAATTATAATAGTTTGGCTAACTTTTACTGAAGCTATTTAGGCCTTAATTGGTTCATATCATCTAGAATGAAAGAGAAATTGGAAAATTCATTTTAATAAACATTTATTACTATGCCAAATATGTTGCTAAGTCCTGAGGATTCTCTTGCTGAGTACACTCAGAGACTGGGTTCAGTTTTGGACTCCACGGTATAATTCAAAGGATAAACTAAAGCCCGTTCACAGGAGAGAAATAGGAATTATCTAGTTGGAGGACTGACTTGGCCTGGGTTTGAGGTTAGAGTATAGATGAGCAGTCTGTTTCCTTCAAGTGTTGGAGGCTCATTATGTGGGAAAAATGACACTTGTTTTATTTGAACCAAAGAAGTGTAATGACAATAAGAGGAGAGAAGTTATGAAGAGACAGATTTAAATTCAGATTAAAAAATAATCTCTAAAAGGAAACTTCAGGAATGGAATCTCTTGGGGTCCAGACAAATACTTGGTTATATGCTGTCTGGAAATTTCCAGCCACAGGTTGGTGGTTCAACCTCAGCAGCTTTAAGGGCCCTTTGTCTTGGAAGAACATGACTCTGGTATTTATTTAAATTTTATTTAAATTTTTCATTTTCATTTTCTTAACAGATATAATATTATGACCATTATTTTTAATGGAAAATGATTGAAAGTGAAAATTTAAACCAAGAAGAAATAATTAAAGAACTGGTGAGTCAAAGCAAAATTTATTTTCACCAACATTTGTGGGAGAGTTAAATTGAACATTTCTGTGTTCTTTTATAAAGGTGGGAGGGTTATCTAGTGATCTCTTTTACCTTATGACTTTTGGAAGCAGAGAAAATTCATACATGTGGTACAACTTTCTCTCGTGGGAGCACAAAAATGGCATCAGACCAACTGACAAGTTACAATTTCTAATGGCAAAAGTCTTTTATTATCTAAAATAAATATTAACCCAGTTTCTTTCTCTTAAAACAGTGTTTGTGCAATGGTTTATCATATGAGATGGTTGTACGGGAAGATTCAGACACTTCAAAACTGGAGATGTTTTTCTCAGGTTATCCTCGTATAGTTGGATTATCCTTGTTTCCTAAGTTAGTAAGTCTTACAATTGTTGCTCAAGATATTAAAGAAATTTCAGGGTTAGAGACTTGCGTACAACTTAAAGAACTTTGGATTGCTGAGTGCTGCATAGAGGTAAGTCTAAACATAAAACCTTACATGGAGTATTTTATCTGAATTCTTTGGCTTTGGAAAAATAATTTATTGAAATATATGTATGTATAAGGCATGGGCCAAAATAGATAAATAAAAGATAGAAATTGATTTTACAAAGGAAAAACTTGAAATAAAGAATTAAAACATAAAATATTCTAGTTTTTGGTAATCATATCAAATCATAGCCAGTATTACTAATTTAACATTTGTTTATTTAGACACTATTGGTTGTACTGAAATGATAACATCTGTTTTGATAAAATGGCTTTTTTTCCTGTGAGCAAGTGCCCAGTAGTGGGATTACAGGATCAAATGTTAGGTCTTCTTTTATTTCTTTGAGGAATATCCATACTGTTTTCCATAGAGGTTGTACTGGAATGTTTATTGCAGCACAATCACAACCACAAAAATCAATTTAATTGGGTTATTAAAATGTGATATATGTATACAATGGAGTACTACTCAGCCATAAAAATGAATTAGTACCTATAACAATCTGGATGGAACTGGAGGTCATTCTCCTAAGTTAAGTGTCCTCAGAATGGGGAGAAAAACACAACACGTACTCATTATTAAATTAGAACTAACTGATCGGCATTTGTGTGCACAGATGTAAGTAGAACTCAACAGAAGTAAAGCAGTTGGAAGGGTTCAGAGAGGATAGATGAAGTCATATAGAACAGGCACATGCACACTGTCTGGGTAATGGGTATACTTACAACTTTGACTCAAGTAGTACAAAAGCGATCCATGTAACCAAAATATTTGTACCCCGGTAATATTCTGCAATAAAAATAAACAAATAAAATATTTTAAAAACCACCTAATTTGAAAAACAAATTGTAAAATGTATTAAGAGCCATAGATAGAAATGTATATTGCATACTTACATTCCCTTAGAAATCCCTATTCTAAGATTTTATCCTAGAGAAGTAATTCAACAGTAGAAAATTATGTGCATGAAGATATTTGTTGTATTATTTATAATAGCTAAAAAAATTGAAACATAAATATGCTGCATATAGGTAATTTTAAGAAAATTCTAAACTTCAAGAAATATTTCATAATTATTAAATATTATAATTGGAAGGATGGGGAAAAGTTTTCAGTTAAAAAATCCCACAAAATATATGTGCATTGTGAATATAATGATATAAAAGTAGGTTCAGAGTTGATTAAAATTTAGAGAACATGAATAATTGAAAATGGTTGTACTTAGATGGAGAAACTATATGCTTTTAATGAAATTTAGTTCAGTTCACTGGATATTGATGTTGCAATAAATTATGTTTAAGAGAAAATGTGCTTATAAACCATTATTAGAAGGATTAATGGCAAAATATAGGCTACTATTACTTAGTCTCCCCCCCCTTTTTTTTACAGAAAATTGGAGGTCTTCAAGACTGTAGAAATCTGGAAAAACTGTATTTATATTATAATAAAATTTCCAAAATAGAAAATTTAGAGAAATTAATCAGATTGCAGGTTCTTTGGCTAAACCACAATACAATTAAAAATATTGAGGTAAGATACTTTCAACAATTTCTATATAAAGACAGTTACTACTATGGAGTTTAAACCACAATGACCAAGATTATATTATGGTGAAGTGCCAGAATACTCATGGCTAGCTGTTGAAAAGAATGAACGTGTATATAGCATTTTGTAACGTACGGAGGGTTTCTTTTACAGCACCTTACTTCTCACAATAAGCCTGAGAGGTAAAGTGGTGGTATTCTTTGAAATTAAAAAGATGGGTTTAGAGACATTATACAATTTGCCAAAGACTATAAGCATGTTCTGTATGATGTGTTCTTTTTCCTTCTACTCTTCTTTTCCTCTCCTTTCGCTTCCCTGTATCCTCCACCTCCAATAATTTCCTCTTGGTTTCAGGATAGAGGAACAGAGATGCCTTCTCTGATGCATCCATTTCCCTCTGTGCTTTTGAAGTACAAAGCACTCAGTACTCAGAATTCCTGGAGAGCTAACCAGATTGATTAGAGATGATTTGTAAATAGAGATTTTTAATGATTTTTTTCTAAATTATATTGTCTAAATTTTTAGGGCTTACAGACTTTGAAGAATTTAAATGATCTCAACCTTGCTGGAAATCTAATAAGCAGCATTGGTATGTACTATTATCTGAGATAATGCCACAATAATTTTTATTAGTATAAAAATATACAGGCTTATATTTCTTTTAGACTTTTTGTTTGTATAATATCATTGCAAAACATGTCTCAGTGATTAAAGATTGTGAAAATATTACCCTCTAACCAATGGTTACTAATTATACAGTGGTACAATTAGCCATATTTGCATGGAAGAAATGGTGGCCATATACAACTCAGAAGTAGAACATGATATGAACAGGAGTATAACAAGAAATTTAATTTTTCTTTCACCTTATTTTTTAAAGGCCGATGTCTTGACCCCAATGAACAACTGGAAAGATTGAACCTTTCTGGTAACCAAATATGCTCTTTCAAGGTATGTTTAAGTGGAATGATTCATTTTTATTTATCAGCCTGGATCATGAACCATTTTGTTGAAGAAAATGTTCTAAAAAGTCCCCTTTTAAGAATAATTTTGTTATTTTGGGACACCTGATACTACAGGAAATTTGAGAGTCAGCTGACTACATTGGCCTTAATGAATTAACACTATTAAAGCTGAACAAGTAACTATTTACTTGACTCCTAGGGTGCCGTTTTCTTTCAGTTTTTCTGGCTATAACTCTTAACTTTCTGTTTTTTCATCCTCTCTTAGCACCTAAAAAACAGATTACCCTTAGTCAATCCTGGTATTGTTTTCATTTCTATCTGCCTTGATTCTGTAAATAATCTCATCATGTCTTATGACTTTATCAATTACTCCTAAATCGATCCCTTAGTTTCTCCGACACCTCCCCAGAAGTATAGACATCTCCTGTCCTAGCTTGAACTGATTTCCCTTCTACCACACTTTCCTTTTGTGGTATCTAAACAGTATCTCCATTCTTCCAATAACTTAAGTTAAAATCCTTCACCATTTTTTACTTCTCTTATCCCTTCATATTCTACATCCTATCCATCAACAAATTTTGTTGGCTTCACCTTTAGAATATGTTCAGAGTCTGCCCACTTCTTAACAAGTGCATCACTCCCAATCTGGCTCAAGACATCACCATCTCTAACCACATTATTGAAAAGTTTAAAAACTCCTAACTGCTCTCCCTGTGTTAATACTTTTCCTACTATCAATCTGTTCTCCACTCCACAGACTGATAGAGACTTTTAAAATATGTCCGATAAAATAAATTCTACTACTCCAAACCATCCCATGGCTTCTCATCTCACTCAAAGTAAAAGCCAGTTCTTACAATGAGCCACAAGGTGACATAATCTAGACCCGACCACAGCTGACTCTCTGACTACGGCTTCTTTCACTCCCACCTTTGTTTATTCAATTCTGGTCATGCTGGTTTTCTGTCTATTCCCTGAATGTACCTAGCACACACTCACTTTAGGGCCTTTCCACTTGCAGGAGTATTCTTCCCTTATATACCATCATGGATCATTTCCTCATTTTTGTCAGTTCTTTGTTTAACTGTTATGTTCTTAGTGATGCCTTTCCTGCCCAATTTGGGAATAATAGCAACTGCCCCCACTATGTTCTCCAATCTGTAGCATTCCTTATGACACTTCCACTCTTGACATATCCCTTACTGGACTACAAGCCCTATGAGGACAGGAACTTTGCCTATTTTGTGCAGCACTATACACACAGCACTTAAAACACTGATGGACATGCAACAAATTGCAATAAACATTTGTTAAGAACATGAATGAAAGACAAACAACCAAATAAAATGACTTATATTTCTCACATATAACATAGGTGAAAACATGTAGCATTCATAATTTTCACAATGTAAGATTGAAGAGACATATTTAAACACTTCCCCTAAAAATATTGAAGAAAAATAGGTACATTTACTTTATAAATAATTTTGAATTGATCAATATTAAAATAGGGATTCTTTTACTTAGAGAAAAATATTTTTTAAAAAACTAAAAAGCTATAGAATGAGGCAAAATAAGTACCTTAAAAGGAAATTTAAACAAACTTTTATTAGCCAACTTCAAGAGGAAATATTTGATATAAACTTTGGCCTATAAAATTTTAAGAGGTATTGCAGGAGGATATTCTGGGGAGTAGAGGTTGGGAATTCTAAGAGGGGGAGAACAAAATGTACAAAGGCATCAAGAAATCATAAGAAATCAAGGAATATATTTGAGTAACATCAGCATTATCATTTGTATAATATTCTCATATCTACTGTATACTTCAGAATATTGCAAGTTTAGACTAGAAAGGTCAATTATGTCTTCAATATGGACTGTACTCTGTTGACAACAGAGCTGTCAAAGTTTTTAAGCAAGGAAGAGTGATGATCACAGGTGTTCTTTAGGGATGGTAATCTGGAATTATTATTTATTGCTTTAGAGTAACTGCAAGCATAAAATCCAGTTAGAAGATGATAGAATAGTCTAAAGGAGAGATTTTGATAGTCTAAATTAGGATACTAACAGCTAAAAGACAGAGGAAGAGAGAGAAAAGAAAGAAGGGAAGCAGAAGCAAAAGAAGGAAGGGGGTGAGAAGAGGAAGAGGAGGAGAAGAATTACTTGCAGGATTTGGCACCTAGTAGATATGAGGATAGGGAGAGTCCAATATGAATCTATGAGCACAGTTCTTAGCAAGTGCAAGAAATACACACGTCAGAAAAAATGACTCATTTTGGAGGGAAGAGAATGTATTTGATCCTGGATGTGTTGAGTTTAGAATACCAGTGAAGCCATGATTGGAAACAAGGGGCTGAAATTTGGGGCTAGAGTAGTCGATTTAAGATTCTTTAGAAGACATCTCCTATGGATTAAAGAATTGAATCTTTGCTCTTAGAAAATGCGTATATAAGTATTTAGGATATTGGAAGAAAATAAGGAGTCAGTAAAAAAAATAGACAAAGAGCTCTGAGCAAAGCTGAAAACTAAAGAGAACTTTACACAGGATAGTCCCTAGTATCAAATCAGAGAGATAGAGGATGAAGAAAACAAGAATACCTGCTACAATTTATCATGGAAGCCAATTTACTTATGCCACGCCATGTCGCAAGGAAGAGTCTTAGTCATGGGACACTTCCTGCTAGGCTAATATGTTTTCACAGTATGTTTGATGCATTGCTGGCATTTAACTGATTGGCTAATTAGTGAAGTGGGCTAGCAAATAAGTCAGGGGTGAGACTGAAATCTGTGATCTGGGTGGCATTAGATAAAGGTCTCCTTCCTGGATCAGGCACATGCCATTAGTTAGTCACATTTTTACTTGTGACTAACTAGTAAAA